ATATGTCAGAATTGCATTATAAAAATATAGCTTCAATATAAAAAATTGAGGAAATTATCTCGACCTGTGGCGTCCAAATAAAAAACAAAATGGCGGCGATTCGAAATTTGCGTCTGAACCGTTTCGAATAATTTAGTGTTCGATTCGATTAATACAGCCCTAGTCGGGACCCCAAAACAGAGTCGCTTGAAAATTTCATTTACTATTCCCAATTTATATTCAATTTTTTATATTCGATTTGGTATTGAAGTGTGACTCAATTGTAATATTGGGAAATATTACAGTGTAAAACACTTAGAAGCATCTATTTTGCTCAAGTAGAGGCATACGATACGAATTTAAAAACTCGCTGACAGCACACACGCGGAAAGTCTCTTACTTTGAGATGATTTCTAGTGAAATGAAGGTTAAGTAACTCAAGGTATATAAATTAATTAATTCGGTTTCGTCATCAAGTAACGCCGGCAGGGGCATAGCCAATTATTTCCAAATTTTGGAATTTCTAAATCAATGTTAGACCGTAACATCCAGCGGGTATCGAGTGCTGGACACGTAGGTTTTCAAGAGTCTTCATGGTCTAAAAAGCAAGTTTCAAGTGACGAAATGTATAATACAGAATTTTTTTTCATGTAAATTTCAATTCGGAGGTTAACACACCACCCCATCTCCTGGCTACGGCCTGAACATTGGTGACAACACATACCTCAGATATAAATGGACTTTATATGTGAACAGATATAAAAGCAATTATTTTTCGCCAAAAACTGACCTGTCGTTAGTTCAACTACAATATTATCTTCGAATCCATATTCCATCAAATATTCCTTCTTTTGTATAATCCCAGACTGTATCGTTGTGTTGATTTCATTTTCAGTCAAACCTACATCCCGATTATCTTTGAGTTTGGCAACTCCAACAAATTGCATATGTGGCTCCAAGATTGGATTGCATAGACCCAGCGACACGAGTGTGCAAAATAATATCAGCTTGTAGAAATTCATATTGTACGCTATAGCGAATCTGCAAAGTTGCGTTTTGATTTAAAGTGCTATATATAATCCTCAAATATATGGTCACCGATATGGCTTCGAAATAGCCAAAATCGGTATTTAAGAACGCTGAATGAGGCTTTATTTCTTTTCGTTCTACTTATACTCGGGTTGTTTTGAGCAGCCTTATATACAATAAATTGCAATGTCATGTCAACTTCTATATACTGAGACCTGTGTCATATAAAGGTCATGGCTCTGCAGTGGTTTCCTACAATTATTCCCTTTGTACTCTCTATTTTGGTAATGTCTCGAGATCTTGCTTTGAGCAAACTTCAGTAAAAAGTACGCCGACACCTACCTATTAAGTACCGCCAGTTGGAGGTCGCAAGTTTCGGTAAGCCCAGCTTTTTAACGCCTTCATTCTTATTACATTACTCCGTATATAACAACTCAAAAGTAAACGTTTTTCTAAAATAGGTTTCTTTTTGGCTTTAATACAAAGATTCTCAAAGTGCTACGTGAAAGAAATCGAGGGCTGCGTGAGATAAACCTAGGGACCTGATTTTTTAACTGTCCAACGAGGCAATAACGATATTAATAAAATTTAACAAGCAGCAAATACATCTAAGTCGTTAAATAAATTAATTTCAATTTACTCAGGAACATTAATCTGTGAGTAACAATGTTTTTTTCTTGATTTTTATAATTTATTGTGGGTCTCTGAATATAATAGTCAATCTCCTCACTGGCTCCATAACACCAAAAGTTTGAGAAGACCTGGTCTAATGGTCCCTATCCCGGAAGAAGATGTATTGTATTCTGCATCCACGAGTTATCCGAGTCGAGCTTATCTCGGAGTTGGGTCTTACTGGCGGTTAATCAATTACAAATCTGAGTAATTCTATTCGGATGTCTCAGGTAGCACTGTGCGTTTCGATTCGAATAGTAAATTATTCAAATCGGTTCAAATGCAAATTTTGAGTCGCCGCCATCTTGTTGTTTTTGTCCGCCCGCAGGTCGAGATTAAACGCCCGTTTTTTGTCCATGCCAAATTTAAAAAAAAACAATTCTAGAATATGAAGTTTTTCTTCCGAGTGAATTATTGATTAAAAATGTTTCTCGCTGTGTGTGAACACTCACTAATTTATCTGTCAGAATGACCCCATTGCAATAAAAACAGTCAATACAACTACATATCTTCCAAGTATTCGAGATTCAATTCGATTAGAAAATGATATTGGATTCGAAAAAAATATTCGATTCTATTCTAATATCATCATATATTCGAAAATGCTCAGTCCTAGTCTCGTGTCACTTTTAGTCTTTGATAACTGGTGACTCTGGGACACAAGCCTCGCAAACACTGCGGCAATACTAAATAAACAAGTCTGGTTTACCGCGCCTATCAGACATCAGTATTTCATAATAACAGCACTAGGCGGTTGTTTTTATTTCCAAATTCAGAAATCGAAAGCTGTTTTTCTCAAAATAATAACAAGTGACGTCATCGATTAGTGACGTAGGGGAAGTAATCGGCGCACGCATAACATCACTTCAGATCTAAAAGACTGATTTAGTGTTGAGTACTTCCTAATGTGTTCGTGTCGGCTGCGTTGATAGACAATAATAAGATTTGAATTTTAAACATTTGTTCAAATATTTTTTGTCCAAACATGGCACTGACTAAACAATCTAGCGCTTAGAATCTTATTCATTTTTGAACAAAATATTCAAGTGGTGAAAATTCTCAGGTTCCAATCTTCATCTTCGATGTAGTGGATTGGAATGGCAATGTCGAATTCGGAAGACAAATAAATTGTACCTCTTTACGCTGTTTATTAGATTGATGTTTTGGAAAAAGCGCCGATTGAGATTGCCGGCTTTCTTTTAACAAGTCGAGACATGTTCTGGTCTGATCTAAAAACAACAAAACTGTTTAATATTTTCGGAAATAACCCGAACAATCAGAGAACATATGTCGCCTTCTATAGCAAGAGTAATCTACTCGTTGCCCAAACAAGCACCAGCATGCCACGACCTAATTCTCAAGATTATAAAATGGCCTGGCCTTGGAGTACAGAGCGATTCAATTTGCAATATATATCAATATACAACAAAATAGGGATATTTTCAGTTTTGAGATAGGAAATTTGTTGTCTGAAATTCCAATTAAACCTAAAATATTGACTAAAAGTTCGCTCTTATATAAGACATTAAGTTATGGAACATCACGTAGATAAAATGTAGCGTTCAGAGCAAAAAAGTGAATCAACCAAAAATATCATGCAATGGATACCACGCCTCTTAGTACATCAAACTTGTTCTGAGAAATAAAGTAAAACAATTAATAAAATTGATGCAGTGTAGAACCACGTCCCTCTTGAACGCCTCGTTTTGAGCAAAAAAAGTGAACACTCAATAAAGCCACGTAATTCAAAATCAAAACCTAAAGTTCTTTTTTTCATATCACATCCAGTGGTTAAACATCACATATAAAAAATGTTGCGTTCAGCGTCATGTTGTGAGAAAAAACTAATATAACCACCAAAAATCACGCTGATGACGCAATAGATAGCCACGCCCACTTGACACGCCCCCGACGAGACCCATCCATTATGTAATTGTATGCCAACACGTAACGGTGACTTAAACCTTTAACATAGTCCTTATCGAGTTGGTAAGCTCGGGCCATCCTTGATTTATAATAAATAAACAAATATTTTCCGATTTATGGGGATTTAATTCAGATGAAAGGGTATACATCGGATTAAGAGCCCTTGAGTAACGTAACAGTTTAAATCTTTATTAAGTGGTGTTTTAATGTTATTAATACCAGAATATTGATTATTTTAAAGTGTTTGAACGCTAAACTGAACGCAGGTGAATATTTGTGGAATTAACGTTCAGTAGGTTGGATAATTTGAGAGTGTTTCCGCGTAGTTTGAGTTGCGTATGCAGGGGTGGGCAAGATTTTGGGACCAGAGGACAACAATTTTTCCCACCTAGACTGGCGGGCCATAGTGACAAAAGTGTGACGTAACTAAATGACGTATTATGAACAATATTTATAGTGGTACAAAACAGTAAGCTTCGTGACAAAACTAAATTTAATTGCAATCTCAACAAATCCCTTGAGCTATTCTTTAACTAAAACATCAAAATTTGGTTTAGTTTGGTTGTGGCCGCATCAGGCGGGCCAGATTGAAGTAAGCAAAGGGCAGGATTTGGCCCGCGGGTCGTTGTTTGCCCATTTCAGGAGAGGTTGCAGTGAAAACTTCATTTAATTGCTCATAATCGTATGGAAAACAGACAAACTTTTACCTAACATAGAGAAAGAGAAGAAAGAAGCAAAACCTTGCTTAATTGAGCAAACCTCGTTTAGAAACACATGTATCATACGGATAACACCGGTAGATATTTGTCGTTGACGTCAATAATTGACGTTCAGTTGAGCATACAGTAATGTTGACATGTAGTTTTATTTTATTTTTTTAAGAAATGACTCTAACTAAGTGAGACTAACCGGAGTCGGCTGTCCCTCAATGGCAGGTCGTTCCCAGTAAGATTGACGGTTACCGTGTATACGTGCTATATTGGGTATATTGACTTGTATTTTTAATCTGCTTTTAGAAACGCAGAAAAGGCTTTTATTAACACGAAAAACAGACGAAATAGTTTGAAAACATAAAAAATATTTCAAAACATATGTCACTTGCTAGCGGAGTTGACTTTTTGTGTATGTTTAAAAGTTATTTTGCTTCGTTAGGAAGATCGCAAACAGAGGCGTATCCAGGAATTCTCAAAGAGGGGTCCTGAAGGTTTTTAAAAGCCAAGTTAAACCACAACAGTCAGTATTCAGTCTTGAGGGTCTAAAATAAGTTTCAAGCTAAATAAAGGTATAAGTATTTCCTCATTATGTGTTCGATGGAGTTGCGAAAACTTTTTTAATTCAAATTATTATTTTTCTAAAATAGAGAATGGGTAGACGAATAAATTATGTTGCTTTCTACTATTCTTCCAACCTTGGATGCTTTTATTAGCAAAGAACACAACGAAAAATTTTCTGAAAGTGATTCTTCAACGAAAATTATTGCGAAAAACTACAAAAACAAAAGTTCGAACAGAAACTACAGAAAAGTAAAAAACTCAACGAGAAAACCAATTTTATTCAAAAGACTGATTAACATGAATAGAAAACTAAAAATGATAAAATATTTCGGTCATTATGAGCACAGAATCATATTTTTGGGATTTTTAGTTTGCATTGGATTGTACTCAGCAAAGATTGGAGCATCTTCGATTGGACACATACATCCGGACTTTAGTATACTAAAAAACGTCCTAGAAGCCAGCCAAACCTCTGATTGCAAGAAAAACTTCAACCCGGAAGCCATTGAAAGGTCACGTCGTATACGAAGAGAAATTGCTTCCTCAGGTAAAGTATTTACCACTGGGCCCAGATTGTAGCGATAGATTGGTCTGCTAATTCAGGGTCTTTTTGGTTAAGCGTTGCAGGCGAATATTCGTTGCTGTCAGAAAACAATTTTACAATTTTATTGGCTTTAGCAACGATCTACATGTGTGATGCAACATTTTCAACTCTTACCAATATGATGACCAAATACAGGTTGAAATATGCCGTACAGTCGGATCTACGATTTTGCTTGTCATAAATTGCTCCAAAAATTAATAAATTGTGCAGTGAAAAGCAACCTCATTCATCACATAAATATCGTTTGTGTTGTTGGGATGGGGTCCGTCAAAACTAAGCGTCTGAGCCGATTCGAATAATTTACTATTCGATTTGAATTAAATATTCAATTCGAAGTGCTCAGCCCTAATAGTTAGTCCATTCCTGGAACCTCCAAGTTAATGCAAATTAAAATTAGTCTTGATAACACAGAGTATCTATTTTTCAGAACCGAAGTCAGACGCTCCACTAGGTATGCCATCATGTCTAGATCAGACGGACCCAACGTATTATGTGTCAAAGTATCACAGAAAAGGTAACGCGTGTTTATTGAACCTTAGGCTTCTGTTTATGACTGCAACTCATAGTAGAATATGATTTGTGGCTAGAGGCAGTGTTGAATTTATAGCTTTTCAAATCAGCTGTTTACACGAATGTTTCTAAAAGTAAGGCCGGAATTGTGGACTTAAAGATGAAATAGTTGTCACAAGCGCGGGGGAAGACATACAGTTTTATCCCCGTGACAGTTAAATATGATACTGATTGATACCATGATTAAACCTAAAAAGAGTTCAGGAAAGTATGAACTTTTTTTTTAAATATTCCACTAAATTCTTTATTTATTGTCTTGAAACAAACAATCCTTCGTCCCCAAAAAATTTCGTTTTATTAAAAGTATGGAATTCAGTGACGTGCTACGAGTAAATTCCGAATTCTGAAACCCATTTATTCTGAGGAAATTAGCGTAACAATTCAGTGACGTCACGTTAGCATGACGTCATCAAACATGACATCATAATATTGCAGCTAATGCAGTTTCCAGAAAACTATAAGTTTTGTTTCGAGATATTATTGTCACGTTAATGACGTCATCACATATGACATCACCATAATAAACTTTCTTTGTCAAATTGTCTTTTTTTGAGTCTGCAAAGCCACAGTGACACTCGTGTACCAAGTATTTTTTGAACGAAAAACCGCCGAATCCGAATGGTCCAAATATATTTTGAAATGTCAATGACGTCATCACATATTAGGTCATCATACTAAATATTCTCTATCAAATTTTCTTTGTTGCAGTCTGCAAAGCAACAGTGACACTCGTCTACCAAGTATTTTTCGAAAGAAACGCAACCGAATCCGAGTTCAAAGATTGGTTCGAAAAATGCGTATCAAGGGAAGTGAACGAAGCTTACTTGCTCTGGAAATTCGCTGAAGACGAAGAACATATTGAAATGCTAAAAAAGAAAAAAGTAAGAATTTTGTCTTTTTGAAATAGGTTTTTATAGCATTTGACCTGATTGTCAAGTGTCTACCGCGAAGATTTATTCTAGCTACAACTTCAAAAAACATTCTTGAAAATTTTCTTCGTTTATTCGCTCAGAACGAGTCTCCGAGGTAGACACTGATAGCGCGGAGTTTCAAACGATTGCTTTGGTGTTGCTAATTAACATTGGTTATATTTTAGGATTTTCGGGATTTATTCAATTCTTACAAAGTTCTGTGATTCTTGCTATGAATAATTTTCTACGATTTCAGTTTTGAGATGAGTCCTCTTTCTTGTGTATGATTTTGCATAATGCGCCCCCATAATGCCATATAGTTTCATTAGCTGCTGGCATTTTAGTGGTTCTCTATAATTTTACTCAGATATGAGTCTTCTTTATTTATTAGTGGATGCGCATTTAATCAACAAATTTTTCTATAAAAAAATCTTATGCAGCGTGATGCACCATAATTCTATGTAGTTTTAGTATCATTTGACACTTCAGTATTCGTCCTTCACTCGGATTTGAGTCACCGTTAGTACTGAGTGAGTACACGTAATCACCCACTATTGTTTCATGTAGTTTCAGTACCTCTTGACATTCCTGTGGTCTCCATAGCCTTCTCTGGACTGAGTCCTATTTTCTTGAGTGTGGTTTCAAATATTACACCACGACAATTCCATATAGTTTTAGGAACTTTGTTCATAGATGAGTCTCCATTTTCTTGTGTGTGATTGCATGCACATAAGGCACATAGCTCCTGGCTTTTCAGTAGTCACTCATGAATTTTCCCACATATGAGTTCCATTTTCTTGGGTGCGATTGCACATAATTCTATTTAGTTTCAGTAGCACATGAAACCTCAGCGCTCGCCCGTAACTTTGTTTTCATATGAGTCCTTTTTCTGGCGTGTGGTTCCTCACAATGCACCACAAGGGTTTCATATATACATAGTGTTGAAAAAATGACGCAAAATTAACAGAAGTTAAGATGAAATGGTAATTAAAACATTTAACGCCAGACATCTTTCAACAATATTAAATTACGGTAAAATAGCATTTGAACATTTCACGACTGACGCTATTTAACAGTTACTTTTTTAACGTTGCCCCATAACGAAAAATTTTACCTTAATTTGGCGTAACTTTTTTAACACCCGCAGCTCTTGACTTTCCTGTAGTCGACATTAAATTTTCTCAAAGTCTTCTTTACTTCTAAGTAAAAATAACTAACCTTGCTTCAAGAAAATTTTCATGAAATTAAGTCTCTAGCAATAATCTTTTACACAATTTTTAACAGCGACAGAAAATGGAGAAAGAAGTCGAAGAAAGCATGAAGACTGAGGCGATTGAAGAGAATCCGCAGAATGAAACAGAACCAATTAAGGTAATGCTGAAGGCGTTTCATATTTTAATGACTTTTTGATATAAGGGTATGTATGTACGTAGATTTAAGTGAGTGGTGCCGTGGTCTATGCTGTTCATTTGGTTTCTCAGAAAGTATTGTTATGTAATAATTTATTGGGTCACATGTTGCACCAAATCAATAAATTTTCCGATATTACATATTCACCAGATAAATCTCATGTGAAGCGATAATAATATACATATTCTTATGACGTCAATTTGCTACGTTGTCATGACGTCGGTAATGTGGACCTTGGTGTACCTGCTTCAATGACCCCTACTCCCATCCGTTGACTTCCATAATCGTTAGTGTCCGTACGAAATTTATTTAATCTCCATCGTTTTTTTTTCATTCCTAACGGCTGTTTGTTCCAACGAAACGCCCATACTCTAATCCCCGGGCTATTGTAAGCTCCAAGGGGTATTCGGAAAGTATTGTAACTTCATATTTTATTATGAAGTCATCTTGTGACGTTCATAACGGCAGTAATGGAGACGGTTTACTCAACATTCTAATGACGTCAGATTCTGACATTTTTATGACATCAGTAATGAATACGGTTTTGAAAATTTCTGCTTTCGATATACACTGTTTTTTGGTTCTAATTTATCACGCACAAAAATCTTGAGGGACATAGGCCGGCGCCGGGTTTTCAGTCACTTTTTTCTTTGTCATATTTTTACATGACGTAAATTTGTGGTATTATTGTGTCGCCAGCAATAAAGTCACGATTTTGAAAATTTTTGCTCGAGTGCCCAAACTTATACGAAAGCTATGGTTTTCCTTACTTCATTTCAAGGGTGGAAAATTGATCAACCTTTTTTGCTTGAAAATCTGAAAATATTCAAAAATGCATGTATATATAAATATGGGACATACGTTATTTTTGTTATCAAAGTAAAAAACAAGAGTATCGGTCAGAGACCGAACACTTATCGATCGAAAGTTAGGGGATCCCCCAAAACAGTGCTCTTAATTCATAGTGACACCTTGTGTCCTATTACTAATTAATTAATAACTCACTAATTATAAGACATAATTCATCCAAAATCAATATGCTTCTGGTCCGACATATGATGAATGCACATGCAAAATCTGCAGCAGATACAATCTCGCTTTCGTGAGATATCGCGTGCATCTAACAGACAGTCAAATACCTATCGACATACTTACCGATTAAAATCGATAAGTAATAACAAATTTTTGATATCACAACATAGAATTTGCTATAGAATTTTAGCATTGACCCAGTCTGTTCAATCTTTTCTTTCCCACTTATAATGGTCAAAAACAAACCATTTTTGATTCAGTACTCAAATTGTACTTTTGTTTGCGATTTCAACCTTGTCAGAATTCAGAGGAAGACCCTCTGGCCGTTCCGATGAAAATGCGATTGCCGGAAGAGGAATACTCTGAAGAACTGAACGATCCGGAAAGTGAGGAATTCAAGAAGAAATCGGATGAATATGGCGAAGCGGTTTGTAAATTAAATTATTCCCAAACATGACATAATTTTAAAAAACATCGCATTGGTTTTGCTGTAAAATCTATGACGTCACGCAGCGTAGCCTTCATTAGCTATTGTTACTTCATATTTTTCATATAAAGTTATATTGTGACGTTTTATAACGTCATTAATGAAGTCATGTTTTCTTCTTTGTCGCCTGATCCCATTACAAATCGTCGTCGGCGGTACAAAAAATATTTACGTTTGTTTTGAAATTTTCATTGCAAAGAGCTACTCATTATTAGTGTCGTGCGTTACGAGCCAGTAAATCCCGAATAAAGTATTTCAAGCGAGTACTATCAGGAAAACAGGTAACTATTACAAGAAAATTTGATCGAAACAAGGTTACACGCACTCACTCAGAAGTAAGAGTGTATTTATGCAAAATGGTGCCCATGGAAAAAGTTTAAAAATGCGTTGCAAGTTTTAAAATGCGCCTTGATTGTTGACCGACGATTTTTATCGACTGTTGTTGAACTGGGATACTTGTACGATACATTGGTGACCACTGAAATAAGAGGTCAGTGTACATAACAATCGTTTCAATATTATGTTGTTGTTGTTATTATTCTTCTCTTTCGTCATGATGAAATCACTTTTCTCTTCGAATACTGGATCAATTGCTTCGAAATTTTCACTGGTTGAAGATTGATTTTTTGGCGAGAAGGCTATTACTTTTACTTATTTCGAAAATTCCTGTGGACTTCAAGAGATTCGTTTTTTATGTGTCAGAATAAAAAATAGCGACACCTTGTGACGTGTCAGTATATTTGAGCACAGCTCTCTTGTTTTGAGTATAATACTTAGGTTAAACACTAAATGATACTTTTTCTAATTTGTTTAGCTTGCAGATGCTTTGAAAGACGATGTACCTGGATTAACAGGAGTGAAAGTCTTGGGATTCTCGTAAGTTTTATTTTTATTTGATTTTTGTCATTTATGAATCTTTATATAATGATTGGGACCATATCACCACCATCCCTAGTTCTAACCTGATGTCTATATTGCAGCCTTATAGCCCCCTATAATAGAGACCATTTTGAATGGCAACTACAAAGGAGGCCATTTAAATAGCGATTTGAACCATATATCCATCCAGAAGGTCATTCATATGGCGATCGGGACCAATATTTACTAGGGATGGGCCGGGATTCGGATCCGGACTCGGATTCGAGTCGAATCCAGGCATTTTTTGGACTCGGATTCGATTTCGAGTCCACGTCGTTTTTACCGAGTCTATAATTAATTCTGTTTTCACTAATTTACGCCTATGTTTGTACTTTTACCCCTATAAATCTCACTACATACACTAACTAGTTGAAATTAAGGTTAAATATGTAACAATATCACTCAAACTATCTATTCTTTTGGTATACATGGGGTACACAATAAAATATGTGTTAGCGCAATATTTTTGAGTTTTCGATTTGCGTAAATAAATATGAAACATGGGCAGGATAAGCCCAAGGAGTAATCTCATCAATACCTCTTTTAAATCCAGTTTAGTACGTGCAATCCTTTCTCTAAAAGAGAGCAATGAAAATCATGGATAGTTTTAGAACGTTTACATGAATTACTAAATTGCAAGCATTGTATTGACGACGAGTGGCATCTCTCTACCATTTGCGCACGCGACATAGTAAATTTAAGACTAGAAATAACTGGAATTATGGGAAAGCATTGTAGTCAAAAACTTTTTATTTTTCATATTGCCATGTACGAATTTTTAATTAGCCGTCCAAAATTGACGCAAGGAAACTGGAAATCCAGTTCACAGCCAAGGCGCACATTGACCCACGTTTACGTTTATATTGTGGCCGCCAAAAAAGAAGAAAAATATATTTTCAAATTGATTCAACAGCTATCTGCGGAATCATTAGGGAAAAATATGAGCTACAGCGTATGTTTGTGAGCGCGCGATACTGTAGTATGGCCAAAAACGTGTTTTTCTACTTTTATATTGTGACGTCACGGACTCGGAGGATTCGATTCGAGTCCTTGACCTATTACTCGGATTCGTCGAATCTTTGTAATGCCGGACTCGTCCCATCGCTAATATTTACCCCAATACCTGCTGTCTACATGACAGCTCAATAGTCCTCTACAAAAAAGACATTCAAATAGCAATTGGTACCGTATATCTATCCTTAATCTTAATCTGCTGCCTTTACAGAAGCCATTTGAATGAAGATTGTGGCAATAGATCTAGTTCTAATCCCAAAATGCTTTCTTTATGGCAGTTAAAAACCCCACTACAAGGGAGTTCATTCAAATGATGACTAGGGTCATATATCCATTCCTAACTAAAACCTACTATTTACATGACAGTACTATGGCCTCCTACGGAGGAGACCATTCAAATTGTAAATGGAAGCCATATATATTCACCCTAAATTTTAACCTAATGTCTATATGTCACATGGTGTTCCATCAGTAATCCTTACCTGCTGTCTTCGTGCCAGCCAATAGCCCTCTACGGAGGAACCGTACAAATACTGGTCGGAACAATATAACCAACCCTGTTCCCAACCTGCACATTATTTCTTTACGGAGGAGTTCAAATGAGAATTGAGGCCATATTCCTATCCTGCTATTAATAAGATAACCTATAGCGACTGGGATCGTTTATTCACCCAAAATCTCAGCCTGTTGTCTATAGTTATACGGATTATAGACATACGGATCAGGCAGTTCAAAAGGCAACCTATCAGTAACCCTAACCTTTATTCAGAAACGGAAGTTTGGTCGTGTACTATGAATTGATCTTTGAAGACGGAGTAAAGAACGTTTCCATGCTGTACGAAGGAGATGGAACAGATCCGCCCAAACCCGGCGAACCTTTTGATCAAGAGAAATTTGCAAAGGTGAAGATTGATACCATGCAATTTAAAAGTTCTGCTGTACACTAACACAAATGTATTTTTGTAACGTTTCGTCTGAGCAAAATCAGACTTCCTCAGACAAGCAATGACAATTGAACAACAATCATGCTATTTAAATACGGCGATAAAGGGAATTGTTTGAAATTGATTTCAACTTTTGTCCAATTTTTATTCGATAATTTCACAGAGCAACTCTGTACTTGTCTTGGGTGAGTGTATCCGAGTTCATGAATGTGAACAAATACCTATTTCCAAACCGGAAGAGAGGCTGTGGTTCGCTATTTGATTAGGCCATTTTTTGTCGGGATAAACGTGAAAAGCCGAACCAAAAGACCCTAATATTTTTTTTTATACTATTCTTCATTCAAAATGTACATTAGAAAATTAATTAAGATTTATGCTAACACTTGTGGTAACATTTTAGAATGTCAAAACCAAAGTAAAAGAAGTGATAAAGGAAGCAATATCAAACCCAGAAAAACGAGACGGTAAATCAGATAACCCGATACTGACCAAGACAAACGTTGACCTGGATTCGTTGGACACGATTTCTGACGATGTTGTTCACGACTTAGTCAAACTGGTAAGAGTACTTTATGGAAGTAATATTTCCTTGTGGCTCCATATTTTTTGGATTGCTTCATTCGGTACTCCCGTAGTGTGTGTACCCGGTTAGGGATAGGATATAATTTTATTCCAATTTTCCTAATTTTAGTTCTATTACGAGTTCGGGGACTGTCTGTGTTAGCCAAGTTAATTTAATGACTATAGGTCCCAGTTCCCTTTACACAACTGTAAAGTAGGCGAACAAAATTAGTTACCTCCATATTAGTACACACATTTCTGAAGCTTAGTTGTATTTAAAAACAAGGGTGTATGGTCGGAGAGATGGTCCATTTAGTTTTGTAAGGCGCGCAAAACGCTCTCCGATCTTATTTTGACCTCAACTGAGACTTTTCACACGACTTGCACCTGGCTACGTTTATTCGTGCGTTATTCACTTGAATGTATAACCTAGAGCAGTGGTTTTCAAACTTGTCAAGTCACGCCCTTTTTTTAGAATTTCTCAAGTCTCGCGCCCCACCCTTAAAAATATTCAGCTAACAAGAAGCTATAAATAACAGATAGTAAGGCAAAGGTATGTTTTATTCAAAAAACACGTTGAAAATACGTGGATGGAATCGCAATCTCTAAACAATAAAGAAATGTGGGTGCTCCCGAAGTATGCGAACCAAGATGGCGGACATCGGAACGTAACATGGGTAACAGGTTAGGGTTAGGCCATAATTTCTTTCCAATTTTCCTTATTTTAGTCCTATTATCAGTTCGAAGACTAGCCAAGAGCCTCCCGTAGTATTTATACCTAAAATTATGGCCTAACCCTGACCTAGTACACATATTACATTCCGATGTCCGCCATCTTGGTTCGCATACTTCGGGAGCCCCGGAATGTGATTATCCAAAATAAGGCGGACAAGATCAAATCTAACAAATATTTTTATTTTCAATTGGCCCCACGCTCCTCAAAAAAAATTGTCTACGTTCTCCTTGTGGGGCGCTCCCCACCGTTTGCAAACCACTGACCTAGAGCTTATAAGAAAATAAATTTTATATTGGCGCATCGCATTAGTTTTATCCGAAAAAGTTCTCATATTGACTCGCTGTTTTAGAATCCCGATGCGCCGATTGTCAAAGTTGATCCGATAACACAACAAGATGAAGGCAATGGGGATGGATCTGGTTCTGGTAGGGGGAAAAATAAAGACGAACAACCTTCAACAAATGAGAAGTCCGAAGTCGAAAACCCCGATGAAGGGGAAGACAAGGATGAGGTATGTGTGAGTAATTACGAATTAGGTTATTTGAATTCTTTATCTTCTTGTAACTCTTCTTCTCTTGTAACTTGCGACTCAATATTTGAATGGGTGGTGTCTTTCACAGTCAAGTGAGATTTGGCTTCAGTCTGTGGTGAGCAAACAGATCTAATATTAAATATGGATAGATACTAAATAATTTTTTTGTCTGTGGCATCATCTAATTAGTTGTGTGGCACTATTGAGCAATATTCAATATTTGGTGACCGTACATTTGAACTCATGTGTATATCCGCGGATTCAATTTATATGCGGGTGCTGAACCCCATAGGTTAGGGTTAGTCTGGGTTCAAATATCCGTAAAACAAAAAAACATTCCCATAGATGCAATAGTATGCGGGTGCAATTGCCGTGGGTTTAAATGTAATGAAACCCAATATTTGAATTAGTGTCTATCGCATTTAAGTGAGTTTTTGGCTTGAGCCTGTGGCGAGCATATTGTTCTAATGTTAAATATGTGTATATACAAAATAAATGTTTGTGTGTGGCATTATGTAATCAATTTATCACATCCTGTGAAATAGCATGTGGTCGAGCGCTAACATGTATCTTTGTGACTGTGTATATCAGTTCGGTAAGAAAATAACTTTATTCAAAATGTTCAGTAGGATCATCCCTGTTATGTGGCAGACATGAGGCTGAACCCAAAGTTTTTAGTCTGAATACTGGGTCATTGTAATCCATGATTTCGATTTTCCTATTGTGATTAAATGTAAATTAGTGGCGTGGCATAAAATGGCGACGTGGTAAGGTTTTAAAATGAGTCCACTTGATGATTGACAAAAAATTTTCAAATTGAGAGTATCATTTAGATACTTTTACATTATTATTTGAGTAAAAATACGAGTCTCAATTATTTCTTATTTGGTATTATTTTATTGAAACCTTTTACGATTAATTTTCTACGATTTTCGCCTATGGGTGCCACACCCTAGATACGCCAATGTGCAAATGCTCCCATATTTTATAATACCTAGCTTCCATGAGTTTCGAATATATTTACAAATTCAAACTTCATCATAGGAGCCAGCCAACACGGAATCTTCAACAACAACAACAACAATATCTGCAACAACCATAACCACAACAACTCTCGATAATGAAGCATTTGTCACAGAACCGAGTCTGAAAAATGATGTAACCACAGGTATATACGTTTTTGTAGTAGGATTTTGAATAAACATATCAAGGAAATTGACAAGAGTCATGTAGTAATTAGGCGATGATAAACTGTTATAACGAAAGAAGTAGCTTTGTGGAGTTGTGCATACAAACTTTTAAGTCAAATTTAAACATATAGGTGATGTCAATAACAAAGATGCCACATAAAGTAAAACATAAAATAAATATTACGAGCCATAATTGAAGAAAAAAAATTAACGCCGCTAGCACGTGAATAAATCCAGAAGACTCCTTAGCCATAATCTGAAGAGAAGTGATTCCGTAAACTCCGCTGAAAAGAGTTCATTTAAACATTTTTCTCGAATGAAAACAAACGTTAGCTTTGAATTTTAGTATTAGGTTTTGGGTGCATTGCTCTCAGTACGGTTGAAGCAGTACAGGAAAATCGTTGTCTAAAAGAATAATTAATTTTTCCACGACAGATCCAACCGATGAATCTCCAAATCCTAATTCTCATCTTGACTCCCCTGAATATCTAGACTCGTTGGATGACAACGGAGAAAATCACTATGACAACGATGATGACGACGAAGTCAATAATAATGACGTCACAACCATTTCTGCAACAACAACTAGCGTTACAACGACCGTTCCTACAACGACCGCACCAACTGAAAGTGACGTCACAAATAACTATGAAGAAGTAACTCAAGATGACGTCATTAATGACGTAACCAAGATCAATACAGTCGATCAAACAATCAACGATACATCTGCTCAAGTTACAACTCCGTCTATTAATGTTGAAAATTCAGCAACGCCAGAATCGCTGAAAAATGGAACTACTGAAACGCCAGAAAAGACGGAAAGTGAAAGAATAGCAGCGGAAGAAGAAGGAAACCCCCTGCCTGAAACGTAAGATTTTTCTTAAAATAAAAATATGACGCAATATGCGAGGCGGGCAGTGGGGGTTGGTCGTTGGAAAGAGTATTCTGATTTTAGGATGTTTGATTTGAACTCATAGTCGTATTTTTATACTCACCGGAGACGGAGTACTTTGATATTTTTGAAATCTGGTTGTGTTATTCAACTAAAACACAGCACTGTTGTTATATGAAATCGAACCTGTTTGTAATGGCCTTGAATCAAGGTAAAATTTCCCCCACTTTTTTTATCACAAATACTTGTTTTACATCAAAATGCTCTTGCGGCGATTTTTCCTATGCGGCAAAATTTCCTGCGGCGAACTTTCCTAGAACCGATTTTCCACCTTCCCCCAAAGCTGCTGAATGGTGGCTACCGAATGTGAGGGGGATTTTCCAAACTACTCAAACCGGCCACAACATTTACCATATCACTAACGTTTTTTTTTCAGAAATATCAATGATCTGAGTCAGACAGTTTTTATGAAATTACGAGTCACGAATATGAACTACACAAAGAATCTGACGGATAGACAAAGCGAAGAGTTTAAGATATTGGAAACGAAATTTACGCAGGTGAGTTTGTGAATGTGATTATTGTTATTTGTACTACTCACACTCCATGGCAAAGATGCGCAACATTTTTTGTTGGTGGACCATATAACCAACTTCAGACATCTAGTTAGGCTCTCCTTGTCTACAACAAATCTAAAACTTCCCACTATTCAAAATTATATTTGTTCCACATTTTAGTGAAACATTGAGTTTGTGCATTGTTTGCTAACATCAGCTTTGACAGAAGTTAGGATTTTATGCTTGATGGGGAGGGGAAAATCTGAGGGTTGACAAGGGCCGCACTAAATGGCTTGGGAGGCCGGGTAGTGACCCGCGGGTCGCCTGTTGCAGACACATACTCTATTGATGATACCCTGCAACAGGGGTGCACAACCTTTTTGCCATTGGCGGCCACATTGCATGTATGTGCATTCAATACGGCCGCCAGGGAGATTATGAGCGCTTTGGCGCGCAAAAATGTTTCCGGCTTTTATGACGTCATAACCGCGTATTTGACCCATGCGTTATGCAGTCTGTCCAATTATGAAGCATGTAGGACTACTTGGAAGTATAATATTCGCATTTTGATAGGATTTTTCTTTTCGGTGGACCTATTCTTGAGCAGATATATTGCAGCAAGTTGCATAATGGTTGCACAATTTTGAAAAAAATCACAAGTCGGGGAGGGGGAGGAGCGGTCGCCCCCATTTTCTTGTCCCCAAAAGTATAATAAAATGTCAAATATTTAAATGAATTTATTCTATAAACGTTTGCAAAGAATTGTAGCATTAATGACTTCCTTGGTCTTGAATGTGGGCAGATAAACTTGCAAAGTCAGGTAACTGGCCTTGCTAGGCTAGCTTGCTACGATGCTAGGTTGCCAAAACGCGTGATCAATCTGAACCGTGAAGGGAAGTCTCCAACAGCAAATACACCATCCAGATTGTGACGCATCGTGTCGTCTGACTTTTTTGCAGTGCTTCTATTTTGCTTCAATATACGCCAGCATAGCTGCCAAATCCTATATTTTGAACTTTTTTTAATAGGACTTTGTATGTGGACGGCCGCATTATTTTTCACGACGGCCGCATGCGGCCGCACGTTGTGCACCGTTGCCCTGCAATGACAGGATAGTATTTGTCTCAAAATCCAACTACCATAATGTGGGGGTACTAGAGTGTTGTGTACTTAACTGCAAGTTCTTTATCCTTGCTGACTTCCTACTTCGGATCCGTACGTGTCAGTTGCCACGAGGATGCTTGAACGAGATAGTATTATAAAGTTAAACAGAAATAACATAATCTCTTCCCACGAAATAGCAAGTATACTTGCAAACTTTCGTTACATCTTAACTTCTTTAAAAAAAACAAGACACAACAACAGCAAAATGATAAGTTATATCTTGGTTTGTCTGAAAAAGTTTGGACTATGATCTAACGAAAGCTATATAATTACTAACTATTTCGTGGGAAAAAATTATGGTATTCCTAATTACCATAGTGCGATCTATGACAGATATATATAGTAATATAATACGCGCAGTTTTGCAAACTGTGCTGGGCGTTCAGAACTCACGTGTATCATCGTTGAGATTGTTAGCGTTTTTATATTTGAACTTGCTAAAATAATGAGTAACAAAGATGTACGGCTACGGGTCCCAAACTTTTTGTTCGTGCGGCGCCAAATTAGCACAGGGGACTCACGGTGCAATTACACGAGAGAAAATTGCTGCCTTTGAATAAATCTTAATTTTGTGATCGTAACAGAACGCTACGCAACAGGAAGTAAACGACTTAAAAAACTAAAATGAATTTATTGATTCATACATTCAAACAGTAAAACATTTATAATAAACACAATATGTAAAATATTTAATCATATAGTAGGTATGTTTAACACAATTCTGTTTATTTTTGCGGCGCAATTAACTAGATCAAATTTCAATGAGTTAATACATTCCAAACTATAGCATCCGGGTCAATAATCAAATTAAATCCTCGACTTTATAATCCACGCCATTTGATGGTGATTGAATAGAATCCACGAGGTCGCAGCTGGTTGAGTACACTTTAGTAATATTTGTAAAGTTGACTGGTATTTTGGAGTTAATATGAAAACAGCCTTGCAGGAATATATACGCGGGTGGCACAGTTGATAGGATTCATGGCTCTCACCAAGGCTGGATCATGCGTTTTAGAGGCCCTGAGCCAGGGTGGTCCAAACCCAGGCCCGCGGGCCATATGTGGCCCGCCGCTTCATTATCTGTGGCCCGCGTCGCATTTGGAGTCGCAAAAAATCGCATTTGGAATTGATTCCTCATCAAAATAACCAAAAATTTTGAAAAATTAGTAATTATCTCAAATTTGGTAGTCACTCAATCTGCGATTATATGTAAGTTATTTAGTAAACATGAGTTTGAAAAGAAGGCTGACCAATTTAAACAGATTTTTGACTGAATATGGTCTGGGAATACCACAATGATTGCCTAATATTTCTTGTGTCGCTGACAATCTAAAACTGCATTTTCTTCATTTTTTTTAAAGATTTTTGCACGTTTCAGTGAGGTTTTTGGTTGGTTTTTGCAATTTTTAACTTGATAAATGACAAATAAGATATATGAGTTTGGACAATAAAAGTGTTTGTTTCGTATTGCACTGTTTACCTATTCTTGGCACTATTGTGGCCCGCGAACAAGACCAAAATAATAGTGTGGCCCGCGAGACCGACAACCTTGGACCACGCTGCCTAAGCAGTTAAGACTTCGGTGCCCTATACAGAGAATAGTAGGCTTATAATAATAATAAAAAAATGGCGTTATTTTTGGGAATAGTTCACATATCTACAAACATTTATGGAGTGGTTTAAAACGATATTTGAGAACAAAATAGGCACAAAAATTCATTTCAACCGGGCGGATATTTAGGTCTGTGTCGTCTGACTTAACGCTGAGGCATCGTTATGAAGACCTCTGCGGTGCCATAAGCACGTGCTTATTTTGCTCAATGGTTAATCCAGCTCTGAGCCTCACTCACGTGGCTCTAGTTCTATGCCCAATATTAGAACACGTGTAAATTATGCTTGCTGTATGTAATCTAGAAATAAAATGCCACTAACAAAAATGCGTTAAACTTGAATTGGGTTAGAATTGTTTCTGGAATGAAACTGTTTCACCAAATTCACTTGTAAGAAACAAGAACAGGAAATATATGTAGTAGCGATCAATTTATGCTATTGCAAGTTTGCTCGCTGTGAGGTCTCAAGACTCAATTAAAAAGTAGAAAAAGTAACGATACATAAAATATTTTCCAGAAAAGGACGCCATTTCGTGTTTGATTGGTAGTAATTTTTCGCGTTTGTTTGTAGCGTACTTTACGTATTTTGAGTGGTGTTTCTGATTACCCAATAGTCAAATATTCAATTTTAAGTGTCTCTTCGTAAAGAAGTTTTTAAATTGAATATACGTATAAAATATGTAATATATTCTGCGGAGTACTCGTGGATTTGAAGCATGAATACTCCACATGCTTGTCATCGTTACAGAGTAAATAAAAATTGTGATTTGGCAAGAATTCGAATAACTATCACACCATTAACCGCAGCGAGTATAAGATATTTTGATACGAACTGCAAGTTCTTTCTCCCTATTTACTTTCTACATAGCACTTGTACAAACAAAGAAGTGATAAACAACGAATCTTGGTGAAAAAGGCTTGAAAATAAATATTACACCTACAATAACTGTTTAATAAAATGTCTCCATGCAGAGGCGATTCGCGCCTTTGATTCGAAACGGTCTTTATACGAGTAGACATTGACACGAAACCAGTGATATGCTGTAGCCGGAACGCACCGGAACGGCGTTCTTGTTGTTGGACATTTCATTGCATTTGCGCTCCTGTTGTTGAAATAAAATTATGTCATGGAAAGTTTAGTTTCTCTGGTAAACTTAGTTATTACGTTTTGTTACGTAATAACTCTTTTTTTAGTACAGCAGTAGCATGTAGTGTATTTCCGCCGACCTTTGACCCCGTGAAAATTTGTCTTGTTGCATTCTAATAAAAACATTTGTATTGAATTAGTATGAATATTCTTGTAATTATAAACAGACATATTTCAGATAATGAATTCATATTTCATTGTAGTTCTTCGGCTCTATCTTGGGACAGACAAAAATTTCTGGCAGCGTCCGCGTCGTGTGGTAAATATATATTGCATACACGATTTAGGTGCGTTCCGGTTGTTATAATTTTTCCAGCTCATCACTGCACGAAACTAATATATATATATATATACATAGAGTATAGTCTAGGAGAGAATATTTCCGACCCGGAATTCAGACTACTTATTACTTACCAAATTCTATTACATTCGGGGTGATATCGTCATGATCATGAAATTTGAACTCACCAATGTAGAAAGGTATTTTAAACAAGATGCCGCCGTCAGGGGGGAAACTGGTATGTATTGGTATTTGTTGAGACCGGAATATTTTCGGTTCAGAATTCATTCTACTTATTGAATGCTAACTTCACTACACCCCATGTGAGATGGTGGGCACTAGACTAGAACAGCGCATCAATAATCCTTTCAATGCCTTCCTCTTGTAACATTCTGAACCCCGTTTCTTCCTGCATATGCCGACTCTTACGCGAGGCACTGTCCTCACGATTATGGCGCAACATAACTATGACGTCATATTCAATTTGTTTATTTTTGATTTATGTTTATTTTTTCATATTCAAGATGGCAGTAACCTAAACAAATCCCACGCGGTAAAAAATGTTCCCTTTATTTTAGCTTTTGAGGCCACTTCTTCAATCAATGGATGGATTTGTTGGGATGGAGGTCGTAGGATTTAGTTACGGGTCACTGGTTGTGAACAATGAATTACATTTCAAAGACCACGCCCCTGAAAATGTCAAGGAAGACGTAAGAAAACGAATCGAAGCAGCCGAAGGATATTTCAAATATGCTCATCTTGCGGTGGATACAAATGCATTGGAAATTCTGAAACGTAAGTTTGAGTTTAACATTTACAATGAGTAACATTTACAATGAGTAAAAATCAAGGCTTGCCCATGGAAAACATTTTTTCCGGCTAATACCATGGTAGTTTATGCCTGTTCCATCCCATGTTCAACCCCGCAAATCTCACATTCAGTACTATAAGTGTGCGCAGCTCGTGAACGCAGAACAAGACCTGTACGCATCTCCCTCACACGGATATGCATTTATTACTTACTTTACTTTCCGTTCCGTAATTCCGTATGTATAATGTAATGTAAATAAAACTACTGATATAATATTTTATTTATATGTAGTCCCGATGCAAATCAGAAAACACAATTAGTTAATAATTTCATTTAGGAAATTACATTTTCGCTTTACGTTCGGCGCACCGTGTTAACTGCGCGAGTAACACGCTAATCATTGTATATTATTCCTGGGTAGTATGAAATTTGAAGGCCCAGAGCTAATCTGTTCAATAGGAAGACAATAATGACAAGAAGGTAATTCTTTTGAAAAGGAAAAATTTCTTTAAAAAATTCTTTTTAAAAGGGAAATTTCTTTAAGAAAATTGGTCTAAACCACAGGACAGCGTTTCCCAGGCGGGAATTGTGTTATTTTTGAAGGAGGGGTTTACTTATATTGTTTATTTATTTGGTATCAATATTTATCAGTATTATATATTATACCACGCAATATAAATCTCCAAATAGTAAAGGAAGAAAACCCAACATTACAATGCTGAGTGCTTTTTTACAGCTAATGAAGCCAACCTTTGTGAATTCGTCCAATGTCAACTCTACTCAGATTGCGTCGTTCGGACAAGTTTCAAAACTGAATGTGTTTGTAGGCCGGGATATATGTAAGTATAGATGAGCTTAATATTCCAAACCTGCTAACAAAGCTAACGACCTTCGCCGTGTTAGGAATGCTGATGAAATAGTTTACCAATATAAAAATTTACACAACATGAAGTCCATAATATGGTTATTGTAGTTTTTAAATACGGAGGTTGCATTACAACATATGACACCGTGAGGCAAAGCAAACAAAAAACCTAACGGCCACATGGAAAATTCAAAATTAATATAACCTGGTGCCATAAAGGAGTAGTAGTACAATATTACAACGCTACAACACACAGAAGACGGATTCATACAATATAACTTAAAATATCGCCGTCGTAATATCGTTTGAGGACGGGGTTTCACATAAGGAGTAAAGTTTGAGATTAACCCGATTTCATTGCCATTGTAAATTATGCGATGAGAGCATCCAGAAGTAGCTAAAGAGCAGTGCTCTTCAACCGGGTATACGGTATACCGGACCATAAGTTGGGTATACAACTGATAAAGCAAAGACGCATTCTCACGCTCATTCACGCAAAGAACCGTCATGAGCACATTGTTACATAACAAATTATATAGATAATGCGATCACGTGTCTTGGTTGGTGATTTCGGCTGCCATGCACTTCGTTTGATTTACGTTGAACAGTATTCCCGTTGAAGCTAAGGCCGTCAAGCAAATTTATAACTTGCGGACACTATCCTATCAGATTGCATGATGATATTGCAGTACAATATGTGCTTAAAATTTAATGTTAATTTAGGCCTTAAATAAACATTGGTATTTGTAAGGAATACGAAGTTTTTGAAAAATTGTAAAAGGTATACCACGATAAAAAAGGTTGAAGAACACTGCTATAGAGTAGCATTTATAGAGTAGAGCACCATTTATATTATTACCATTAGTAGTCTTGATTTTACTTACAATTTTATATAATAAAATCTAACTTTTCCACCAGATCCGTTGATCCGCGAAACTGTGTGTCTTTGTGTGACCTCGAACCAGGATATTGCAGAAACGGCGGGAAATGTCACATAGTCCCGGGTAGAGGAGCCGTTTGCAGGTATTTCATATTCTTTGGATTTTTTTTGTTCATTTACTTATTATTGCAAAAAAGTTCCCCCTCTCTGGCTACGCCACTGCTTTTAATAAATTTCTCACATTCATTCACACTTAACTAGTGTAGAAAAAGTCATAAATTCAAAATTCCTATTTCCAATATTTTACCTTTAACAGATGTCAGGTCCAATATAACTGGGCGTATAGTGGAGAAAGATGCGAAGACTTGTTGCCAAAATCTGTCTTGCTGGTCAGCGTGTCAACTGGAGTAGCTTGTGTAATGTTCATGCTATTGCTGGCTGGTTCGTTCTATTTCTTCTATCGGCGAAGACGAAATAGGAAAGCGGATAAGCTTGCAATGGAGGCCGAAGACAAGGATTTTATGAGGTAAGCGAGTGTGTAATCGGAAAAATTCCTGCCAACTGGAGATCCACCATTACAAAATTCTCTCGGTGGAATATTTCACCAAAACAAATTTAAACTCTAACTTTACTCTCAATGGAACATTCGCGGATGAAACGTTTCGTACACCACAAGGTACTACAAAAATCCTTACACGATTGGACCAATAAAATTTCTTCATTGAATGTTCCAATCAGACATAGATCAATCATAACGTTTGCCTACGTTAACATCATTTTTTATTTTATAGGTATTTTTATTGAATGTCACTGAAAAACTCGCACACGAAGCTCCCCTTTCTCAAATTCCAACATTATTATATTTTTCCAGTGATATGTTTAATTCAGGCGAATTTAAACTCTAACCATAATTCTAATTCCCGTGGAATATATGGGATTCCTGTTTGAAACTTTGCGGGCTCCACAAGATAATAGAACAATTTCGCCGAGAAAATTTCTCCCTAGGGAGATTCCCCATAGCAAATTTCCTTCGTGGATTATTACAGTTAAACTCTAAAGCCAAATTCTGGAATATTTTGATTCGTCGAAAAGAACCGTGTTTTTTACACTTGTTCCAAAATTTTCCGTACACCACAAGTACTCAGTGTTGCATATGTAACTAACCTCCAGTAGTCTAGTTCCTCCTTGTAAACTTCCTAAGTTCAAAATATCTTCTGTCACAATGTGGTGCCAAATATTCTCTACAAAGTTACGGACCAATTATTTCCACATTACTTTTGATCTATGAATTACTATATTAATACAACCAAACACTCCAGTCAGATCCTAAAAACATAACATGTATTGCAGCATAAAATAACATTACATGCAATAAAACAAACCCGAAATTCGTTATATAAATAGAGCACTGACACCATGTATGATATTCCTAAGAAGCTAACAGACTTCTAATAGGACACTGAAACAATTTCCTAATCAAATGCAGACTCCTATCAATACCCTCAGTGAATTACAAAACGGGGCTCCCAAAGTATACGAACCAAGATGGCGGACATCGGAATGTAATATGTGTACTAGGTTAGGGTTAGGCCATAATTTTAGCTATAAATACTACAGGAGGCTCTTGGCTAGTCTTCGAACTGATAATAGGACTAAAATAGGGAAAATTGGAAAACAATTATCGCCTAACCCTAACCTGTTACGTTCCGATGTCCGCCATCTTGGTTCGCATACTTCGGGAGCACCTACAAAACAATATAACAAATTCTGTCAAGGTATAAAACGACCTAAAATCACGCAGTAAATAGGTAATTAGGGATAATCGAGATGAATAAAATGCCAAAAGCGTCAGCTTTATTTAATTCAGTACCGGCAGTGACTTGTACCATACACATACAGACGAGGCGGTAATCTCAGTATACTCACAAACAATCCCAGATCTTCACCAGTTCTAAACATCACGCAGTAATAGAGGTTCCTTAAGGATATTCTCATCATATAACAGTTTCGTAACATCGACTCGAAAATGAAAACCTTTGACAACTAGAATTTGCGCCCCATATAGGCAGATATATCAGCCCACTCAAAACAATCCCAGATCTCCGCTTATCATAAATTGCTGGTCACATTACCCTGTAATACAAGTAATTAACGATATTCCCAATAAATAACAATTCTGTAACATCGGGCTATCTAATTCAGTACCGATAGTGATAACTGAAATGAAACCTCTAACAACTAGCATTGCGCCACACATAGGCAGTTATATCAGTATACTCAAAACAATCCCAGATCTTCGCCTACCCTAAACTACTTATTACATCACGCTGTAATAAAGGTAATTAACGATATTCTTGATAAATCACAATTTCGCAGCATCGGCACTAATTTAGTAGTCTCATCTGAAAAAGAAACCTCTGACAATTAGAATTCCAACACACACATGCTGTTATATCAGCCTACTCACAAATAACTCCAGAACTTCGACTATCCTAAACTACTAATTACATCACACTGTAATGAAGGTACTTCATGGTACTCTCAATAAATATAACCATACAGCAACATTGGCACAACTTATTCAGTTGTCACATTTTAAATAGAAACCCTAGACAACCAAAATTGCACCATACCCAGGCGGGCAGCAATATCAGCCTACACACAAATAGCAGACTATCTTCACCTATCCTGAATTACTGCTCACATCACGCTGTAATAAAGGTACTCAACGATATTCCTAATAAATACCAATTTAGTGACACTGGCACTGTCTTATTCAGTACCGATAGAGACATTTCAAACAGAAATCTAAGACAACCAGAATAGCACCACCAGACCACCATGCTCCTTTCCACAGATAATACCAGCATACTCACAATCCCTTTTACTTTCGTAAGCTACTAATCATCGGGTCAGAAATAAACAAGCTCTGTTTTATATTGAGTAACTTACAACCATTGCACAGAGGTAATCGAACGTAAAACGTCTTCAATCTGACCAACGCAAGCTACACGCTGCAAACAGCAACCTAACCTCACTAGACAACCGAAGACACACTGACCGTGCTCTAGCGCCCTCAGTCTTTCGAACGTAAAATACAATATTCTAACAAATGGGTCAAACAATGGGTGTCCGAGGATAAAAGGAAGGGTTGACATTTTGATAAAACACTCATACGGCATTAAAATTGTATGAATATAAATATTTTAAAACTCTGATGCATTTTTCAGGGAGAGTGACGTAATACTTGTTGATGACGTCATTTTAAAATGTTAATCAGTATCTACCTTGTTGCGTGAAAAATCTCAAGTGCTTTTTGGATTTTAATTTTTAAATTGTAAAGCAAATGTTATTATTGAAATACACAATAAATTGTTGTGCATCTCTAGGATTTCTCATATACTGCAGTATGCAGACATTATACATACTTTTTATACTTTATATCGTCAGGGCTGCTCAAGTAATGTCCGGCCACAAGAGATCGGGAGGACCAGAGAGACTGCAAAGAGTGAATCCTATGTTCGTTCAAGAAGGCAGTCCAACGTCTGATTTCAAACGTAATTTAATTTAATGATATATTGGTGGCAATTAACGGGATAATCAGTAAAGTTAAATAGGATTAGGACGTCAGCCTCTCTTTATTTCTTAGCGTATTTGGATTTTGCAGAAAAAAGCATTCGTTCTTTTCGCCGCTTTATTCAACTTTCCATTCAACTATTCATTCACTCCATTAATTTACTAATATTTAAACAATTTACTACTAGGCCATTACCAACATTCATGACCTTTGGCCGATGCTGCCAGTAACATTTTTGAGGGCACTCTAGCTTCACCGTGCCGTTTCATAATTCGTCGTTGACTTTCTCGTCTGTCGTGCTGTACTTGCTTCGTAGAGTGCGCTGTGTATAAGTGTTACTTTGACAATAATTTTTATATTAAAGATTAAATACACACTTTATTACTGCTGAGCATGCCGAAACATTGGAACTGCTTTGTGCTGCACCGGTACCGGTACCGTGGCGCCAGGTGACCGGACATCGTGTCATATTTTGTCAGCATCTAGTGACTTCTAGTCTATGGTGTATCTTCAAACTCAAACGCTGACATCTGACATACAGTATTACGGCAAATCCTCTCCAGTACCGTATTGGGACTCAACAAAACAACTATCCCTCAGATCTGAGATCTCCCACCACCCAACCACGTGCGAATGCAAAGCAAAATCGTCGCGTCCCCTCAAAAACTGGTTTTGGCAGCAGCCGACACGTTTCGTTGATTCGTATGAAAGTTAACAATGTGCAGATTTTAACCGGATCGGAAAATTTTGTCCACGATCACGCGCCGTCGTTCACTAAATTGTTGCGTAATAGTGATAACTCATAGACTTACGTCAATCGGTGGGGCTCCCGAAGTATGCGAACCAAGATGGCGGACATCAGAATGTAATATGTGTACTAGGTTAGGGTTAGGCCATAATTTTAGGTATAAATACTACGGGAGGCTCTTGGCTAGTCTTCGAACTAATAATAGGACTAAAATAAGGACAAGAGAGCAATGCTCAAATATATGGACACGCAGAACAATTCCCCAAAAATCATATGCGGTGACCAGCGACTAACATACCGGCGGTGACTTACCAGTACCTGTATCGGGGTACCGTGACGGTACAGGGACTGTCATAGATATTTTAGGTCCTGTGACAATTGAAACATCAGTTGAAATATCTCGTGATATGAGTCAATTATGTACCGTATTATCGGATCAGGTACCGAACCACAGTCAAACATTTCAGATAAAAACGTTACTAAATAACATGCGTCAATTTAACACCAGCCGAATCGGGTTACAATTTTTGGTACAGTGACTGTCATAGCCGTTTAGGGCTGATGGACAATTCGACTACACGGACAACTCACCAGGCCTAGGGTGGTGTAGCCAGTCTGCGGACAATTTCATTCAAACCGCTATAAAACAAAAACCAATATATCTAACCCGTTAATTTTTTCACCGTGGGTGCATTGGCGGCATTTATTCTACACGCTAAACCTCGTATTAACTTTCTACGACAAAGGGTTGAAGCTATACAAATCCCCAAAGTACGGCACTCGAAAGACGTATTTGCGACCGGTGTGCGACCACGGATTTCAAGCCTTGATCATCGTTTATGCTGCGTCGAGACTATCGCATACGCAGCCATACAGCAATCAAACAGACAAAACACGGTGGTCGCAAATTGGTTGACAATTGTTGGTCTTGTGACAGCGTGAAAACATTGGGCTTCTAATTGCATTTCTGACCGTCATATATTTCAAGAACACGGTTATTTCGAACAAAACTCGTTAAATTATAAACAAAGCACCACATCACAGCAATCAAACAGACGAAAACACGGTGGCCGCAAATTGGTTGACAAAGATATTATCGACGTATCGGAAATGCACACCCCCTATTCCCCCTCCTTTAAATCTAGAAACGCGAAACTTTCAAATATGGTTAAAAGAAACACAACTCTACCCACCTGCCAAGTTTCATCTTTTTATTTCTCATATTTGTATGGATTTTCAAGCTTTTGACAGCTACGAGTTAGTTCAGTGTCACCGCGCTGTGTTACGGTACCAGAACTCCTGTCTTGTGACAGCGTGAATTGAAATTGCAAGATGGTCCGTTGGACACAAAATGGCGTCCGATATCCGCAGAACGTTTAGTGACGTCATAGCAAACAAAAACAAATCTTACAGAGCTAACAGAAATATTTGAAATAAATAAAAGTAATAGCCTTCTGGAGAAAAATTTCATCTTCAACCACTGAAAATTTCAAAGCAATTAGTCCAGTAATCAAAGAGAAAAGCGACTTTTTAAAAACGTGTCAAAGAACAAGAGCAAGAACAAGAACAAGAACAACAACAACATAATATTGAAACGATCGTTATGTCCACTACGTGTTCAAAAATTGAAAAGGAAATTATCGTCTAACCCTAACCTGTTACGTTCCGATGTCCGCCATCTTGGTTCGCATACTTCGGGAGCACCCAATCGTTTTGCAGAAGGCAATACGCGAGGCTTGAGAATTTCTTCAGTCATGTCAGGTTACTACAGTATTGTCAACAAGATCACATTTACTCGTGTAGGTAAAACGTAGGTCTACTGCAACGAGGGATTTGTTAATCCCAGTTTCATATTTCGTTATGTTAACTTTTTAAAATTAGAATGAATTTGTATCCTTTTATTTATATCTAGAAATCTCCACAAGTACGGGTCACACCCCAAGCACATCAACGTCATCGCTCGGTCACAGGTCAGATGGATCAACCTCAACTTCCAGTTTCTTTGTGAGAGAACAGGTTAGATCGGACTTTTTATGCCTGCCCAGGCGGAAATGAGATTCGATAAAACGGCCAAATTATGTAGTGACCCACGGTCGTTCGCGTTTTTCCGAAAATAGGACCTAGCATGAATTTTGAAAATGATTCTATCCTATTTTCGGGAAAACACGGTAGTCGGGTTTGGTATGGGAATAGCTGACCCGGCAATGATTCTGATGCACGGACTTGAATGGTGCTCAAATAGTAGTTGTAAATCAAGAAGTCGCTTTTTGGTTTATGTGAAATGCTATACGTAAAATGATATAACGTTCGATAGAGCAATAGTCTGTGATTTATGGTTAGTAACGAATATCAATTGGATTTTTGAATATCCGCTTAGAGCAAAGAAGTCACACTATATTACTCCAGGATGAGAAAAATTCAGTCATAGATGGGGAAACTGTATGCCATATCGAATGGCGGAAATGCAGTTGAAGTTTTTCATAACAACGTTTGCTTATAATAAGGCCACGATATCTCACACAGAAGTAATAGAGGGTAATATCCGATTGAATGAGATTAAGGTAACCTCTAAAACGTAAAAAGTGAAAAAGATTTTATTGAATTATAGGAATGAATTAAACGTTATTGAATAAAGATGGACGGGAGAGTTGGAGAATAGACTTAAATAGCTATAAAGTAGTAAATCCCATAAGACTGACATCCTTGAATAAGAGATCTTTGCCATCGAATGCTCTATATTCTATAAAAGACTTATCAGTTCTTAAACATTTTAAGCCACGCCCCTTTTTAAAATTTGTCTCGCGCCCATCTCAAAAATAGCTAGCTAACAATAGGCTACAAATAACAGAAAGTAAGGCAAAAATTATTTAGTATTCAAAAAACACGTTGAAAATACATGGATGGCTCGTAAATATCCAAAATAAGAAAATGTAAATATCTAAAATAAGGCGGGCAAGATCAAATCTAACACATAGTTTTATTGGACACGTTTAGTGGCCATAACGATCGTTTCAATATTATGTTGTTGTTGTTGTTCTTGTTCTTTGACACGTTTTTAAAAAGTCGCTTTTCTCTTCGAATACTGGACCAATTGCTTTGAAATTTTCAGTGGTTAAAGATTAATTTTTTCGCTAGAAGACTATTACTTTTATTTATTTCAAAAATTTGCGTGAATTCTATGAAATTTGATATTTCGTTTAAAATTTTGCTGTATTATTTTTTATCCATGGAAACACGGATTTTAGTCAGTGTCGTGACTGGCTGTACGTTTTGATTCTGCAAAATTCCTCCTACTGGAAATTCGGAACTTTTTTGAAGGTACCGGTAGCGTCAAAGGTACCGGTAAGGACTGATTCGCTCTGGTCTAACGTGTCCATATATTTGGGCGTAGCTCTCTTGTTTTCAATTAGCTTCACGCACTTTCAAAAACTGCATACAACCTCCACTTCTTGTGCGGCGCGCCCCACCTTTTGAGAACCACTGTTCTATATATGTAACAAATATACGTATTCAATGCATAGCTTGGACACAACGGGCCGATCCCTGGCGACATGGACACACCAGAGAGACGAATGCTTAACTTACAAGTTGGGCAATACCCAAATCACAGGCAGACATGGTGCCGAGAGGATGACGATAAAAACAAGGTGTGTTACTGTAACTATCTGGGATAAAAACATTACGAGAATCCACGGTTCTCCTTAGTTAGGTACTAGCTAACCAAATGAATAGAGAATCTGACACGAAACCATAGTCCGGCTTGAGTACTAGCTAACCAAATGGGCGGAGAATTTGATGAGAAGTCATGGACTCATGGTTCGCTGTAGTTACGAACGTTTCAAAAATTCGCAGGCGATCTTTTTTTATACGTCATTCGCCTGCTTTAAACAAGGTTCTGTATAATCAGGCATTATTAAACAAAAAACTACTAATTTCGGAAAATATCAAAGTCTTTCTCGTTGGCATTGTCTGCTAAATTCATTACGATCTGATATTTATATGCACATGAATTTGGTATTTCCAGGCACTGTATCTTACTAGCTCTCAGTAGTAAATTAATTTCAATTTTAATACAGATGGAAGCTTGAACATTGGTGAGGACTAGTATTTTAATAACTCGGAAAAGGCACGGATCATTTAAGTGTGTTACTTTTGTTCTAGAAATCGAAGAAAGACAAACGGGGAGAAAGAATGAAGACACCGCTCCGACGTTGAAGAAAAACTAGACTTTTGTTTTCGCGTTTTCAAATACTTGCCTGGACAAGCCAGTTAATATAGTTGAATAATGATTGTGATGTCTCTGGACCTGTTGGAAATAAGACTGTTCTTGTCAATTTTTTCGAAGCGTTCCTACCCCTTCAGACTTAAACTGGAAAAAACACGGGCAGTGGAGGCGACCACTGACTTACTAAGAGCTGTTTGAAAGTTAATGTTTGCTAGATTCCAATTTATTGTTACAAAATTTTAACAATTTAAAGCACGATGGTACTGGGCCCTTTTGAATATTTCAGTCCCTAGTCAGGCATGTGTCCGCGAAGAGCCTTCGTTTGAGCAAAGACGGAAACAATTTATAAAATCGAGTCATTGTATATATTTATATCCAAAATTTAACATACATTTTCTTGTACAAAAAAGTGGGTGTTTGTGCCTTTTTATTCAGCATTTTACCATGAAGAACCGAAAAATTGCGTTTGCTAACAACTTTCTATAGAAAATAGCGTCTGAAGTATATGCTATGGATCATCATTATTCGCGATATTTTTTTTCCTAGCTTTTATCCCTATGTTACGGTTAATTTCGGAAGTTGAGTCCAAATTCACGGTTCGGAGACCTAATCGGTTTCTTGACTGACTTGGGTTGGAGTCCACCGAATTACATTTTTACTGCATAAATGGTGACTGTAATGTGTATTTACCATTGCATTTGTATATGTTTGCGTTTCTCTCGGCGCTCCAGAAGTATGTGTACCAATATTGAGGTAACTAATTTTGTTTGCCCATTTTACATAAATTTGTGTAGAGAGACTGAAACCTATTGGTAGGGGGTATATTCACTTCGCTAACGCAGACAGTCCCGAACTCGTAATAGAACTAAAATAAGGAAAATTGGAATAAAATTAGGGTCTAACCCTAACCTGGTACACATACTACGGGAGTGACTTTCTTTCCATTGCAGTTGTCTCTGCTTTTGCCATATTCCACCAATAAAGGACCCAACTAAGTACACTGCTGTTAAGCATTGATTATAAAATTATAAATTCATATAAATCATGGTAAAATAAATCGAAAGAAGACATACGGTTTAAGATTGTACAAACCGCAAAGATTACTAAAACAAATCGAATCAACAGACACAGGGTCGGATGAAGGTACAGGGATGTGAAATCCTGGAAACTTTTCAATCGACTCCCAACTTCGGGTGCAAAAAATTTTGATTTTGACTCCCTACTCTGAATTAATGAAAATTTGACTCCGACTCCGGGTTGCGGAAAAATTTTGATACTCCTGAAGTATACGTACCAAGATGGTGGACACCGGAACGTAGTATATGTACCAGGCTAGGGTTGGGCCATAATTTTATTTCAATTTTCCTCCTTTTAGTTCTATTACGAGTTCGGAGACTAGCCAAGTGACTCCTGTAGCATTTCGGCCTGAAATTATGGCCCAACCTAACCTGATACACATACTACGGTTGTACCGAAGGTTGCACACCTCAAGTTTAGAACAAATGTTCATCTCCAGCAATGTCAAACAGAAAAAATTCATCCAAAAATAGCAGCTTTTTCTCGTTAGATACCAGTGGCGCTTGTCAGGTCTTAGTTCGGAAAAAAACGCGTAAATAGGCGTCTTATAAAATATTTGAATCACTACGTTTTACGAAATCACATATTTCAAACAGAAATAAAGAATAGCAAGATACGAATATCATATTGACAAAGTAAAAACAAACCGGTTGGTGGTGCCAGTCATCCGATACAAAGAATTTCTCGGGATCGGTTTTAATTTACCTAATTACACTTCTTTCCTATTCTATCCCTAAATTGAGCTTGGAAAATTCAATTTTACGACTTGTTTCTGAAATTCAGAAATGTTTATTTTCTCACAAAAATAAGAAGAACATGTCTGTTTAAATATGGTACCACATACAATTTTATTAACCTCGTCGATCGCTTTTAGGTGACGCTTTGATATCAGAATTTTAATCAACTTAATCCGAGTTAGAGTCTGATTCGATACTTTCTAAATATGCCCTTGTGAGTTCGATAATACGATTTTTTTCTTCTTCGTCATCCCAGTCCTGCACCTTAAAATAGGCTTCCAATGCCAGTTTGAATAATTCAACAGCTTTCCTTTTATTCCCCATACCCCAATGAGCAATCCCAGCATTATTCATGCCGCATGCATACACTTTATAAGTTTGCGATTCGTCTCCAAATTCAGTTTTTATGAGTTCGATTGCAGTTTGGGTAATTTGTGCAAATTTGCCATTTTCACCGCCATAGCAGTAGCAGATACCGATATTATACCAACAATTAGCCTCTGCCATCACTTTTACTTTATGACTCGAACATTGGATTGATTGATGTAACTTCATTATTTCATGCATGAGCGGTATCATGTGATCTTTGATAATCTCGATATTTTGTTCCTGATTTGCAAGGGATTGAACAACAATTACTATTTGTCGAACACAGGTAGTAATCCCACGCAACGATTGATCCCCGCTGTTTTTAAATTGATGTAGTTTAGCAGCGGCGTAGTATGCTGTGATAGCATGTACATCCTTCTTAGCAGTTCGAAATAGATCTCCAGTTTGGATGACTTCGTCGCAACGCGATGAAAACCTACCAAATTGTTCTTCAATGTTGCCGCTTTGCAAGTAATTAGCTAATAGTACGATGAGAGTATTTGCAAACGCTGCTGTAATTTTATTTTTACCGGCTGCATGACTCTCGCATATCCTCAGTGCGATATTTTGCCAAATAATTTTCCACGCTATTTTTACCAGAACCAAGTATTCGTTGTCAATCTGTTCAGCATTTTCAATTTTTGATTCTAAAAATAAATGTGGATGTCTTGATAGTAAAACTAAAATATATTGAAAATAATGGAAAATGGTGTAAATCCCACAATAGTCCCCTTTCATCAAACGATGTCGGATATGGACACGACAAAAAATTCATCTTTGCAGGACAAACACCGTATTAGTCAGTAGTAATAAATTCCGCAAGTTGGACTAACCTTTTTGTACGTAATAAGTGGCATTGCAAGCACCTAACATACCAACCTTGCCTGACTTGCCATATTGCCACCATTACTTTGGGTACTCCCGAAGTAAACTAATATGGCGCACACCGGAACCTAGTATGTGTATCAGGTTAGGGTCAGGCCATAATTTCAGGTACAAATACTACGTGGGTCACTTGGCTAGTCCCCGAACTCGTAATAGACCTAAAATGAGGAAAATTGAAATAAAATTATGGTACACACATACTATGTTCTGGTGTCCGCCATCTTGGTTCACATACTTCGGGAGCACCTTACTTTATTATGAGAGCATGACAAATCAATTTTATCCACAGAAAGTAATCAATACTGACCTTTTTCGAACATGCCCATCAAAGCAAGTGCAGAATCGCCTCCTTGTTGACTGTTCTGAGAAAGAGTTCGGAATCCTTCCTCAATTACTGGCTCCAAGTTTGAACCTGTCATTTCAGTTTGGGAAGGGTCAATTGTTTCTAGTGGTTCAGTTTGGAATTCATTTTCCTGGTAAACTTTTACCAATGTCTGTGTTGGGGTGTTGGTTTGTTGTAGTATATTTGTCTGGGTGTCGTTATCGTAAGATCTCTTTTCATCAGTCTGCACGTATACGTTAGTAAATGGCAATCCCATGGATGACTCGCGTACACTAATATCGGGCATTGTTTGAGTGTCCATATGTTGATTATAATGGTCTGTTTGTAAATTTCTGTCTCTTGTATCCGTTTTGTCCGTCTCTGTCTCTGTGTCGTCCATTTGTATCTTGTCTGTTTGGTTCATTCTGTCTCTTTTAAATACCAGGCTGGTTTGTATTGCGGAATCGAATGTTGGTATGAAGGATTGATCTAAAGTTTAAAAAAATAAAATTGATCAAAACGAAAACATGCATAGTTGGTTATGCGTTGAATTTTTAGTTGAAAAAGTCAAATTTGAATGAAAAAGATATTAAAGTTTTCCACTTCATGCAATTGTCGTCGTAAGAAGAATCAGCAAATTCATATTTCTAATTTGCCCTACCTAGTGACTTTCCGGTTCCTGTACTCTCCTATTCTGCTGCCAGTCTAGCATCATAGGAAGCATCAGTGGGGTATCCCGTATTTCGTTAAGGAGTAATACGCGTTATGATGTGTGACGCCATAATACGATATCGAATTTCGTATTTGCAACGTGAAAATCTATTATGGGGTCATATTCATTCCGTGAAACTAATCTTGACGTCACCATAGGTAACTTCACATGTTCGTAGGAAATACTATGCCGGTATAAATGAAAAATAAAAGGGGAAGAAACACAGTACGTACGATCATCGCCAATTTGAATTTATAAACAAGTTAAGGCTCAACGCTGTAATAAAGCGTTATGGTACCAAAAACGTGACTTTGTATTAACAGTTTCTTGTAGGGAGGTGGACATGAAACAATTCTATCATTCGCCGCACTACTGGGCAGCGTAATACTGTTACTAATTTTTTACGGAAAACTCACCAAGATTTGAGAGCACCATTGTTCTACCGTGTCGTCTCGCACGCGATACGGCATGCCTCGATTCACCAAACTCTCTTACATCATCTGAGGGGGAAAACAAGATACTTCTATAAAATTCCAATTTACAATTTTTCAAAACTAAATTTTCTGTTATCTATTTACTCAAAGGCGATTTCACTTATCATTATAAAAACATCCCAACATTCGATGCAATAAAAAGGATGAATGGATATGCATTGCATCGTTTTTTATGACAACATAGTTTTAACCTAATAAAAAGACAAAAATACTTGTTCACACACATAACGTCTTGGGTATTGTAAGTGATGGGTCTTCAGCGAATGAGAATGACGACTCGTCTTCATCCATGTTTTCTCGTAATTCAGGTAACGCTGAAGATACAATCTGCGCAGTTCCGGCGAGGGCTGTGAAAGAATAGGATATTAGTGCAATCCAGATACAACACTCGATAACATGACATTTTTTTATTTAGTTGCCAGAAGTTCGAAAGTAGCCTTGTTAATCTAATATAGAAAGTTTATTCTTCAACGATATTTGTCAACGGTCAGATGAAAAAGTGTTTTGTTATTTGGCATAAAAACCACTAGCAATGTGGGAGGAGATGCATGCACACACGCTTTTGTTGCGCAGAAATTATTTTGTCTTAATATTTTCATGAAGAATTATTTGATAATGTTATATATACTTAATGTAGATGAGTAATGTGATTAGATACGGCTGTCCAAATTTTCCAATGCCCTACACCAGTTCGCCACCTCTGGCAGTCGGATAAAAACTTGATCAGGCCACATATTTGTGCGTTTCGATTTTTTGTCACAAAAAAAGTACGAAACAAAACGAAGCAAAATACCTTCACGCCTGACTCTTGAACCTTGAACTCGACTGCCCCGGAAGTACGAGTACATTTCATCATCCAATCGACGTGGCTCTCGAGAAGACCTCGGTTGTTTTCCAGTATAACCTGCAGAATTTGTAATATTTTTTTTACAGTACGTTGTGTTACATTGTAAGTTATCTATTTTGATGCGCATCGATAATACATCTATTGACATATGTAAAACAAACTTTTGTGAAAATGTAAATTGTTCATCAAAATGGACTAATCGATATCCAATTCTCAGTACTTCAAACTGGAAGAATTTTGAAAGGCAATTACTTATTAAAATTTTCCAATGAATCACAATGTTTTTTGCTGATGCTGCTCCACTACATGACAGTATGACTTTCTAATTCGCCACCTTTTCGATTACTTGCGAATGATGGTGGAGCCTGAGTCGCAGTTTTAATTTGGAGCATTAAAATATCCAGATGACAAATTCATGGCACGCGTACGCCGTAAGCTGCATTGATTATATTATTCATTGAGAATTAGTTTCATGTTTCGGAAGATTTCTGGCTTGTCAAATTATAGTGAACAAACCTGATTCTCTTGTTTCGAATCTCCTCGCCAAACTCTGCACTGAACGAGTAAGGATTGAAGGCTGCGGTTCATCTCGAGATGATTCAAAGTAGCTTGGTGGGGGTTCTTGAGGCTGAGGTGGGTATCTTCGCGACCTTTGACCTGTGATGAAAACACGATTAGACCTGACAAGCATGCGTCAGAATCACAAAGTCGTGGTATGCGTTACAGAGCAATGAACCGCCGATGGGAAAAATAAATTACAGCTCGCAAGACGCATGCGTCCCGCCAAAGCATTTCCGCGAGCCATGTGCTTGAAAAAAGTCTTTTTACAACTAAATACAAAAAATTATTTTTATTTTGAAATCTCAATAAAACATCTAAATTATGAATTGTTATAAAGATGTCATAACTTTTTTCATCTACGGTCGCATAATGTGAGCTATTATCAAATTCGACATTATCATGGGAATAGTGACTGTGACGTCGCAGTCAATTGCGACCATAGGCAAAAAAGATTTTTTGAATTGCAAAAAATAATTTCCTGGGTTATATCATCTGTTAGATATACGTGGACAACAACCTATAACTAGATTTATGACAGAACAAATATATATACAGTAATAAACACAGTAAGAAGTCTTATTTAAATGTCCCACCAACTAACTCTGGTTCCCTTTCACGGGCATGCGGATCATATATGGGTAAATACTCTCGCCTTCTTCCTATTTCCATTCTGTCTCGATTTCTTCCCAAGAATGTCGGAGACATTGGTTGATCTCTCCTAAAATCTAGAAATTGAATACAATTCAAAATTATACCAGGCAAAATGCATATTTGGTATTCCGATGACATTTATTTACCCTACAAATAAAATGACAAACAAGTGACGTCATAATGTGGAACAAGTGACGTAATAATATCAAAAAATTTACGCCATAATGCGGGACTAGTAACATCGCGATATTGTTTGACGAAGGAGACGAGAAGTTTTTATCAATAAGATATCTTTGGGCAATAAAATTATGTTGCGTTCATCAGCACAGAATGACGTCATATTATTGTTTTCGGGGGCGATATAAATACAAATAAATTTTAACAAAGAAAATGTGATTTTATGGCAACAGCAATTGACGTCAATATTAATTTGATTTTGAAAATAAAAACGAGCTAAGCAGTATGACGTCATAGTGTGCAACTGTTGCTGCAGTGACATTGTTGTAATATAGACCAGTGGTTCCCAAACTTTTCAGAGTTGCGACCCACTATTTATTACCACAGCTTATGGCGACCCATTTAAATTTTTTATGACATAACACAGAACACAGCAATGGCTAATCATCGTAAAACGGCCGTGTTTTCTTCGAAAATAAGACAATGGATGTCGGTTTTTGTATAATGTTTATCTCGTGATTTTCTACAATGTAATTTTATTTTTGATAAATGAACTCAAAAGACCTCTTCCAAAAAAAAAAAACATAGTGTTATTTTTCAAAAGGAAATAAATCTAAATCCTGTCTAAATTTCGGGGAAACACGGTAAGAAGTGCTGTACAGTGTACAAAACTGCTATGCGTAAATAAGCCACATGATCATTCTTTGTGTAGCAAATTTTTGTTCCGTTGAGAAGATCGTAAAATAGAAACTTTGACAGATTAGAATATAAATTCAATTTAATATCTTTTGTTTTTTTTGAAGATTTACGTATTCGAGTCGCCACCGATCCTAATAACCATTATAATTATTCAAAGCTTTCTACATCTTTTCACGACCCACTAAGATTCCTTTTGCGACCCACCAGTGGGTCGCGACCCATAGTTTGGGAACCGCTGATATAGACTATTTATAGAGCGAGATGAGCAATTTTAAAATGTGAAGTTGATCATTTTAAGAATAAAAACACTGGAATGAAAATGGATTTTTCAACTGGAATGAAAAAGAAATTTGGGTCATAATGTGCCACAAGAGAAGTCATAATACTGTCTTGTGTATGGAAGTTACCAATTTTTTAAAATAAAAAAAAGTACGGAATGGGATATGTGACGCCATAGTATACGGCAAGTAAGTCATAGTGGTGATTTAAGCAGCGACATGGATATTATTTGATTAGAAGAACAAAATAATGACGCCATACTGGGGCAATATATGACGTCATGTTAGGCAGGAAGTAAGACATAGTATTAAGTTAATGGAGAAACGTATTTATAAGAAGTATGTAAAATAAACAAAGAAAGTTGTCATATTGCCATTTTTTTGTAAAATAAAAATGAACTAAACAAAAAATACGCCATGGAAACTCCACAGTATGTTTCTAATGGAAGAGATGGGCTTGACTGTCGACTTCATAGCACAAATGAAGGATGACGTTATAGAGCGAAACCTCCATATAAATAGGAATGCGATGAGCAATGTAAAAAAAATGTGAGGTGACTTATAATGAGCTAACTGATTTGTTAATGTGTGACAAGGGGTCGATATTTTATTAAAAATACAAAACAAAACATGTACAAAACGTCATTTTAAAATGAGAATTCAGCAATATGTGTCATAGCGGCATTGTGTGCGCCAGTTAAGTCATATTACTGTTTCAATGTGTAATATGGTCACTATTTAGTTAGACTGAAAACATAAACAAAAAATATGACGACATAGAATGCAATATGTGACGTCATAGCTGGAAGAAAATATTTCATAGTATTGTTTTGTTATAGAAATTTCTCTTTAATTGATTATAAAAACAGAGAAAATGCACCTATTTTAAAGAACGATATGAGCAATTTTAAAATTCAATTTAAAACCAAAATTGTGACTTCAAAATGTTCTGTAAGTGATGTCATATTACTGAACTAAAAAATAAGATGAGCATTTTTTCAATCTAAAAAGGTAAATGCAACATCACGGTGATGACAATTGACGTCATGGTATTGCTTTGTGGAGTGAGCAGGCAATTTTTGTAAATAAAAAAAACAAAGAATTTTTATCTCAAATAATTGAGAAAACTTTGCGATTAAAAGGATGGTTATTGACAATTCTAACACAGGAACAAACCTCTTTCTCTTCGATGACGGCCTTCTTTCTTTGTTGAAAATATCGATAATTGCTCTTGCAGTTGCGGATCAAGTTCTGTTGATGATGGCCCACCACCTATTTGTACAAAACATGAATAAATGTTGGTTGGCGAAAAGAATTGGGAATTGGAGCAATGATTGATATAAAGTTTCTAAACGATCGTTGGTTGGCATTACACTGAACTAGAGTAAACACATGAAGTGGGATTGATGGTATATTCTGAGCTACAATAGAGACGGCAATGTAGTCAAATACCAAAAATAAGAATATGAGTTGGGATTAGTAGTAAAAAAAATTCTTGGGCTCAAAACAGAAATATCGTTCAAGCATACTTTCGATAAATAGCTTTTCCAAATTTACTTAATTGCCATAAATTCGTCAACCTTATTACCGACCTTCTTCTGCTCCAAAAGATGATTCGAAGCTTTCAGCCTCATATGACGATGGTTGCTCTTCGGCGTTGGGTGAAGAACGGAGAATCGGAGAGTGAATTAATTCTTCTTGTCCTAAGATTATATAATTAAAGTGTAAAACATTTTCATTGGTATTAAATATGATATACAAAAGACTGACGTGTGTCTTTCATCAAATCTTGTACGATAATACGTTGACTGGTGTTACTAATAGAACGGACTTCAAATTTTTCTGTGGGGATAGAACGATTGTAAATCGGCTGAATACCGCTGGACTATCATTTCAGGCCCATCCTACAAACGGCCTGTTCAGAAATGTTATCGCACAATGCGATTCAAGACATGGCAATCAGCAGTGCAATGTCAGAAAATTTATATTTTTAAGGGATAAAAGTTATATGTGGGTGGAATTTTTTTCATAAATGGTATAAGTTGCTACTGCAGTAATAAATATTAGCAACTGAGATCTAAAATTACGCACCTCCCACTGCTCCTAAATCTTCGTTTTCATTCGATCGCT